GGTTTATGTCCCCTTTTCTACCAGTGACCTATATAATTGGACGAACCAGAATCCTTCTTTCTCCCAGAACCCACAGGGGTTGATCTCTCTTTTAGAGTCTGTGTTTTTTACCCATCAACCTACCTGGGATGATTGTCAACAGTTAATGCAAACTCTTTTCACTTCAGAGGAGAGAGAGAGAGTCAATCGGGAGGGGAGGAGATTTGTGCTGGGTCCGGATGGGCAGCCTACCTCTGACCAAGACAGATTAGAGGCTGTGTTTCCCTCCAGGCGACCCAACTGGAACCCCAATAGTGAGAGGGGAAAGGAGGCTCTCGATCGGTATCGCCAGACTCTATTGGGGGGGCATCCGAGCTGCTGCTCGGAGACCCAGAAACCTCTCTAAGGTGACAGAGACAGTCCAGGGGCCTAATGAGAGCCTGGCAGCTTTCCTTGAGAGGCTGTGCGAGGCCTATCGGGCGTATACCCCCATTGACCCTGATGCTCCGGAAAATCGGCGGGCTGTCATTGTTGCATTTGTTTCCCAGTCGGCCCCAGATATTAGAAAAAAATTACAGAAGTTAGAAGGCTTTGAGGGGAAATCAATCTCTGAGTTGGCTGAGGTGGCCCAGAAGGTTTTCAACAATCGGGAGGATCAGACGGCAGGTTTAAACACCCGGATGGCCAAGGTCCTCCTGGCATTAAACAAGGAAAAAGGCCAAAGGGGCCGGAAAGACAATAAAGGCAAAAGAAAGTCCTCTGGGAAAAAAGAAGTCCAACCCCGGCTTGGGAAAAATCAGTGTACACTTTGCAAAAAGGAAGGACACTGGAGAAGGGAGTGCCCTGAACATGCGGGGGAGCCGAATCCCGTGCTGGTAGAGGAGGTGGATTAGGGTTGTCAGGGCTCAGCTGGCCCCCAAGAGCCCAGGATAACTCTGACAGTGGGGGCCCAAAAGGTGGACTTCCTTGTGGACACAGGAGCCACCTTCTCTGTCCTGCAACAGCCAGTGGGTCCGGTCTCTAAGACCAAAATCCCCATCAAAGGGGCAACTGGAAAAGTAAAATCCTACCCATGGACTAAAGGTCGGATCAGTGACCTAGGAAACGGCTCAGTGACTCACTCGTTTCTAGTAATGCCAGAGTGCCCGTACCCTTTGCTAGGCCGGGACTTGCTAAGTAAATTTCGGGCCACAATCTCTTTTGAAGGCCAGGGCCAGAGGTCAAGTTACAAGACCCAAGGACTGTGGGGATATATCTCCTGACATTGCCCTTACAGGAGGAATATTTACTACATGAGGAGGGGGAAGTCTCAGCAGATGCCTATCTCCAACAATTAAGGCAGGCTATCCCGGGAGTTTGGGCGGAGGACAATCCGCCAGGGCTAGCTAAACACCGGCCTCCAATTGTAGTCCAGCTGACCAGCAGTGCCACCCCAGTCAGAGTCCGGCAATATCCAATGAGCCAGAAGGCGAGAGTGGGAATCGCCAAGCACATTAAGAGGCTGAAAGAGGCTGGAATCTTGATTCCTTGCCAATCTGCTTGGAACACTCCCCTGTTGCCAGTACAGAAACCAGGGACTGAGGATTTCAGGCCGGTGCAGGACTTAAGGGAAGTAAACAAGAAGGGTTGAGATATCCATCCTACGGTTCCAAACCCTTACACTCTTCTCAGCCTCCTCAAGCCAGAACACCGGTTCTATACTGTTTTAGACCTAAAGAATGCCTTTTTCTCCCTACCCCTGGCAAAGCAGAGTCAACCTATCTTCGCCTTTGAGTGGGTGGACCCGACAGAGGGAGAGTCTGGACAGTTAACTTGGACTAGGTTGCCACAAGGGTTTAAGAATTTACCCACTCTGTTCGATGAGGCCCTAAACCAAGACCTCCGGGAGTTCCGTCAGGACCATCCACGGGTGACTCTGCTCCAATATGTAGACGACCTCCTACTGGCCACGGAGGAGGAACAGGACTGTAGACAGGCCACTCGAGAGTTGCTGACCACTCTAGATTATTTGGGGTATCGGGTCTCAGCCAAGAAAGCTCAGCTATGCACTACCCGAGTGACATATTTGGGTTACAACATAGAAGGGGGTAGGCAAACTTTATCCAGTAGCAGAATAAAGGCCATCTTGTCAATCCCCAGGCCTACCACCAAAAGGCAAGTCCGGGAGTTCCTCGGGGCAGTGGGTTATGGCAGGTTATGGATACTAGGTTTTGCAGAAATTGCAAGGCCATTATACTCTGCAACAGGGGGGAAAGGAGACCGCCCTAGTCTGGACAAAAAAGGAAGAAGAGGCTTATAAGAGACTGAAAGAAGCCCTGGTAAGCGCCCCAGCACTCGCCCTGCCAGACTTAACCAAACCCTTCCAGCTATATGTAGCTGAGAACAAAGGGGTGGCGAAAGGGGTCCTCACGCAACCCCTGGGACCATGGAAACGCCCTGTAGCTTATCTCTCTAAGAGGCTTGACCCAGTGGCATCGGGATGGCCCAACTGCTTGAGAGCCATTGCAGCCACTGCCCTACTGGTAAAAGAAGCCTCAAAGCTAACCTTTGGCCAAAATCTCCAAGTAGTTGCCCCGCATGCAGTTGAGACCTTATTAAGAAGCCCCCCGGAGAGATGGATGTCTAACGCCCGCATTACCCAGTACCAGGTGTTGCTGCTAGACCCATGAGTCAGCTTCCTGAAAACAGCTACCTTGGACCCGGCCACATTCCTCCAGTCCGAAGAGGCAGAGGCCCCTTTGCATGACTGCGAGGAGACATTGACTGCCCTCACTTCCCTCCAAGAGGACCTCGTGGACCAGCCCCTGCAGAATCCAGATGAGACCCTCTACACGGATGGGAGCAGTTTCATAGAAGGAGGTACCCGGTATGCGGGGGGCGGCAGTGGTGACACAAAAGGAAATTCTCTGGGCACAGGCCTTAGGACGAGGCACCTCAGCCCAAAAGGCGGAACTAATAGCACTCACTCAGGCCCTCCGGTGGGGAAAAGGAAAAAGAGTGAACATTTTCACGGACAGTCGGTATGCTTTTGCCACAGTACATGTGCATGGGGTCCTATATCAGGAAAGAGGTCTCCTGACATCAGGAGGAAAGGACATTAAAAATGCTTCTGAAATACTTAACCTCCTGGCAGCCATATGGGGGCCCAAGGAGGTGGTGGTAATTCATTGCCGGGGGCACCAGAAGGGAAATAGTCCCGAAGCACAGGGAAATCGGTTTGCAGACCAAACCGCCAAGGAAGTGGCTAAAAGACCAGTAGGGCCCCTGGAGGTTCTCGTAGCCCTGCCAGCACAAAGGCTCCCAAAGAAGCCTACTTACCTACCGGAGGAGCAGAGGCTAGCTGAGAAGCTAAGGGCCCGGGAAGGAGAGGATGGATGGCTAATTCTGCCAGATGGGAGGCCTATAGTACCAGAAGCCCTGGGGCGGACCATCGCTTCCCAGACCCACCAAAGCACCCACCTGGGGGGAACGAAGCTATCAGAACTGCTGGGAAGAGAATTTTACATTCCAGGGCTCCAGAAAATATCCCAAGACTTGGCCAGAAGGTGCCAAGTATGTGCCCAGGTGAACCAAGGGCCCCCTTTGTGGCCGTGCCGGGGCAGCGATTCCCAGGTCAGAACCCCGGAGAACACTGGGAAGTGGACTTCACTGAGATACCAGGAGGACGAGGAGGATATAAGTACCTGCTCCCTCCCGCCCGGCTCCCGGGCGGGGGGGACACGGGTCTAGCCCTGAACTTCTGAGGGGCCCGCGGCCGCCTCGCAGACAGTGAACAGCGCACCAACTCCACCAGCCGGGCGCGCGCCTCCATCACCTGAAGCTTCGTCCTGGAGACCTGCCCTCGTGGGCAGGGCTACCTCGTCCCGCCTCGTTTCAGGCAAAGCCCGACCCCGCGATCCAGGCTGCTTTAGGAGCCCGGCTGGACCCTGGGTGCTGTTGGGATAGGAACCCGGTTGTGGGATCACGTCCTCGGGGGCGGTGCTACCCCATCCTGCCTGGTCAGAGGCCCAGCCAGGAGCCCTGGTCTGTGCAGTGAGTGCTGGTGGTCTGGGGTGTTGTTGTTAGAAATGCTCCTAAAAGGCGCCAGGGGAACTTGAGAATCGCTCCGTAAGGCCAAGGTACTTCTCCGAAAGCGTGCAAGGCCAACAGGAAAATGTGCCGGGCCGAGCACACCGAAGGGGAAGCCGGTCCTCCATGTCCCTGACTCATGGCTCACCCCGCTCCCTCCTGATTGGCTTAAGGGCGTGGCTTCCCAATCTGGCGCGAATCATGAATTCCAGGTCCAATGGAGTACCAGGAAATGGGGCTTAACTTAGTACAAGGAAGTGGAACAATAGCAACAAAGTTGACCTAAGGCTCTATAAGAAGGAAGTGAAGTTAGTAATGTTAACGGAAAAAACCATTGAGAGAATTTTTGTGAGTTTGAGCCAAACTGTCCACACATGCCGGGAAGCAGAACCTCAATGAATTGATACTGCTCCCGAGAATGGAGGGGTTAACTTTTTATTTACACATTTGCAATCAAAGGAGGGACGTAAGTGGGTTACATGAAATTCATTGCTGATTGATGAAGCAGGAGGGATAAGCAAAGCAGGGGAAACCCCTGGGATTGGATAAAAAGTAAAATGATGGACACATACTTAGGTGGGTGCAGGATCAATTCACATGATAATGAAGGAATTGGGGTATCTGTCCTGGTGCCCAGCAGATTTGGTTGTGCCCCAGGGGCTGCAGAAAAAGGGAAGTTACAAGTTACCCAGACATTTCAAGAGTATGTTATCATAGATGCAAAAAGACAGATAGGCTCAGTTACGGTAAAGGTTGACCTTGTCAGTGAAGATACAGGCCTAGGACGTAACTGCCCACCATAACTGCTTTTAAAGTTTAATT